TGATTTCCTATGCCTGTCTTTACTTTAATCTCTTAATCCCATCATCTTCGTAAGCTGAGGAGGATGTATGTCGCCTCAGGACCCTGTGATGATTGCGTTAACTACACAAATTGTTTGTAGAGCATGTGTGTTTGAACAATATGAAATCTGGGCACCTTGAAAAAAGAACAAGATAACAGCAATGTTCAGGGAACAAGGGAGATAACCTTAAACTCTAACTGCCGGTGAGCCGGGTAGCACAGAGCCATATTTCTCTTCTTTCAAAAGCAAATAGGAGAAATATCGCTGAATTCTTTTTCTCAGCAAGTGACATCCCTGAGAAACAGAATGCGTCCCTGAGGGGAGGCCTCTGAAATGGCCACTTTAGGGGGTGACTGTCTTTTATGGTCGAAGCCAAAGGGATGAAATAAGCCCCAGTCTCCTATAGCACTCCCAGGCTTATTAGGATGAGGAAATTCCTGCCTAATAAATTTTGGTCAGACTGGTTGTCTGCTCTCAAACCCTGTCTCCTGATAAGATGTAATCAAAGACAATGCGTGCCCAAAACTTTATCAGCAATTTTAATTTTGCCCCGTCCTGTGATCCTGTGATCTCACTCTGCCTCCATTTGCTTTGTGATGTTTTATTACCTTGCGAAGCATGTGATCTCTGTGACCCACACCCTATTCATACACTCCCTCCCCTTTTGAAAATCGCTAATGAAAATGTGCTGGTTTTAGGGCTCAGGGAGCATCACGGAACCTGCTGACTTGTGATGTCTCCCCTGGACACCCAGCTTTAAAATCTCTCTTTTGTACTCTTTCCCTTTATTTCTCAGACCAGCTAATGCTTAGGGAAATAGAAAAGAACCCACGTTGAATATCGGGGGTGGGGTTTCCCCCGATAGTCCTACAGGTATGTTTCCACATGTGTGAAATGACACCTACATGTCCATTAACAGGAGATTGATTAAACAAATTATGTTACATCCATCTAATGAACACTAGAGATTGATTAAACAAATTATGTTACATCCATATAATGAACACTAGAGATTGATTAAACAAATTATGTTACATACATATAATGAACACTAAGCACCTATATAAACGAATGAAGAGTTTTTTATAGCCTAACAAGGAATAACCATCCAGACACACAAGATATTTTTATAAAGCAAGATGACAAGCATAGTGTATGTATAAGAGATAGAAAAGATATCCACATGCAAAAGAATAAAGTTGGACCCCTATAAATCATGTAAAAAAATTAACTCACACCATATACAAAAATTACCTCAAAATGGAACTTCCATATAAGTATGTAAGACTTATATGTAAGAGCCAAATTTATAGGAAAAAATAGCATAAACCTTTGTGACACTGGATTAGACAATGGCTTATTAAATATGACACCAGAAGCAAAACCAACAAAAGAAAAACTACATAAATTGGACTCATCAAAATTTAAAACTTTTGTGCTTCAAAAGATATAATCAAGAAAGTGAAAAGACACCCCCATAGAATGGGAGGAATCACTTGCAAACTATGCATCTGATCGAAGTATTTGTATGTAGAATATATAAAGAACTCTTACCCATCAATAATAAAAAGACAAATAACCCAATGTAAAATGGGCAAAAGACCTGAATAGACAGTTCTTGAAAGAAGATTTACAAGTGCACAATACACAAATGCAAACAAGGTCAACATCACTAGCCGTCAGTGTATTGCAAATTAAACCCACAACAAGATGCCACTTCACACCCCCTAGGATGGCTATAAGCAAAAAGACAGACAATAACAAATGTTGGTAAGGATATAAGAAATCATAACCCTCATACACTTCTAGTGAGATGTAAACTAGTACAGCAATTTGGAAAACCATTTGGCAGTTTGTCAAAAGGTTAAACATGGAGTTATCACATGACCCAGAAATTCCACTCCTAGGTATATTCCCAAGAGCCATCAAAATATATATATGTCCACACAAAAACTCATACACTTGTTCAGAGCAGCATTATTCATAATAGCCCCAAAAAGGAAACAACTTAAATATCTGATATGGTTTGGCTGTGTCCCCACCCAAAGCTCATCTTGAATTATACTTCCCATAATCCCCATGTGTTGTGAGAGGGACCTTATGGGAGGTGATTAGATTATGGGGGTAGTTCCCCCATGCTGTTCCCATGATAGTGAGTTCGCATGAGATTTGATGGTTTTATAAGGGGATTTTCCCCACTCCGCTCTGCACTTCTCTCTCCTGCCACCATGAGAGGACATGTTTGCTTCCCCTTCTGCCATGATTATAAGTTTCCTGAGGCCTCCCCTATCATGCAGAACTGTGAGGCAATCAAACCTCTTTCCTTCTTAAATTACCCAGTCTCAGGCAGTTCTTTACAGCAGCCCCTGAGAACAGGCTAGTACAATATCTATCCATTGATGGATGGGTAAATAAAAGATGGTATACCCATTTGATGGAACACTATATGGCAATAAAAAGAAATGATACATGCTACACATAGATGAACCCTGAAAACATTATACTAAATAAAACAAGCTATTCACAAAAGACTACACATTGTATGGCCCCATGTATATGAGAGACCAGAATAGGGAAATCTATACGCATAAAGAAAATTCAGAGATGCATAGGGATTAACTACTATGGATTCATGGTTTCAGTCTGG